CTGGACATGCAAATGGGGGTGATTGGCAAGAGGATGTCTATCAAAAAGTAAAATGTCCTGACTTCTTGTCCATTTGATGGCTTTCACATACAACATCTAAATATAAAATTACAAATTATTTGGCGTGGGGGTGGGAATAGAGCTACTGGAAAATAATTATACTAATGCCAAAATTGCCTTGAATGGGGATTTTGAAGAATTACATGCTAGTTAAGACTCCTTGTGGGGCAGCTTTGTTAAGCTACCATCGGTTGGAAGTTTATGAAAACTTGCTTCATTAGATACAAGCATACATGAATTCATGCTGTCTGAATTCATGGTTGCACGCACAGGCTCATTTCCATTGGCATTGATGTTATGATGGTGTCGGCAAGCATGTAGCTGCAGCAAAGTTCTTTCTAATCATCTTTGTGTTTATAACTTTCATTTGCAGATCAAAGTCATGAAGGAAAAGTACTTACCCGAACTAAGTGAAATGTATCATAAAATTGCTACTAAACTCCAGCAGGTATGTAATCAATTCAAATTTTCTTCTCTCATAATTTGTTGCTTGAACTTATAGTAATAAGCAGGGTTTCCCTGCTAGGTTATTGTGGTGCTGCTCTTTGATAGATTCTACCTTGATCTCCCCTTTAATTATTGTCCTCATGTAGACCATCTACATGGGATTGTTACCTCACCAATAATGCTAATAAGATTTCGCAACAAAGTTGTTACTCCTTATATTGCCATTCTTTTGCTTACTGACGTCTGTTCTTTCTGTTTGCCAGCACGATTCTCTTCCACAACAACCAAAGTCAGAGCAGCTTGAGAAGCTAAAAATGTTCAGAACCATGTTAGAGCGCCTCATATCAATTTTACAGGTTTCCAAGAGTAACATTTCACCTGGTTTGAAAGACAAGTTGGGTTTATATGAGAAGCAGATAGTAAATTTTATTAATACAAATAGACCGAGGAAGCAAGGTCCTCCTCTGCAACAAGGGCAGCTCCCCCCACCTCATATGCACTCCATGCAGCAGCCACAGTCTCAAATTCCTCAAGTGCAGTCTCATGAAAATCAAATGAACCCGCAGTTGCAAACAATGAATTTACAAGGTTCTGTGCCAACAATGCAGCAGAACAATATGACAAGTTTGCAGCAAAATTCAATGTCTTCAATATCTGGGCTTTCAACATCACAGCAGAACATGATGAATTCATTGCAGCCGAGTACAAATTTGGATTCAGGACAGGGAAATGCACTGAACTCTTTGCAGCAAGTTCCGGTGGGATCTATCCAACAAACTCCTGTCAGTGCTCCCCAGCAAGCTAACATGAATGGTTTGTCATCACAGAGCGGGGTTAGCATGCTTCAGCCAAATATTAACTCCCTTCAGTCAAATTCTGGTATGCTTCAACACCAGCAATTAAAACAGCAGGAACAGCAAATGCTTCAGAATCAACTGAAGCAACAGTATCAACAGCGAATGCAGCAGCAACTGATACAGAAGCAGCTGCAACAGCAACAGCAACAGCAGCAGCAGCAGCAACAGTTGCAGCAAGCAAAGCAGCAGCTTCCGGCGCAGATGCAGGCGAACCAACACCAAATGCCGCAACTTCATCAAATGAATGATGCAAATGACTTGAAGATGAGACAGGGGATGGGTGTTAAGCCAGGGGTTTTTCAGCAACATATATCCGCAGGCCAGCGTGCTTATCCGCATCAGCAGTTGAAATCAGGATCTCCATTTCCTATTCCATCATCAAACCAACTCCTTCAGGCTGCATCTCCTCAAATTTCACAACATTCTTCTCCCCAAGTTGACCAGCAGAATCTACTGACTCACCCAAAAGCTGGAACACCATTGCAAACTGCCGGTTCACCTTTTGTCATCCCATCTCCTTCAACTCCCATGGCTCCATCCCCCATGCCAGGGGATTCTGAGAAACCTTCCTCACTACCAAATGCTGGGAATATCGGACATCAACAAACAGCTGGGGTGGGAGCACCAGTCCAGTCCCTTGCAATTGGCACCCCTGGGATATCGGCATCTCCTTTGCTTGCTGAATTTAGTGTACCAGATGCTAGTCATGTTAATGCTTTGTCAACTATTTCTGGCAAGTCGAGTGTTACCGAGCAGCCTCTTGAACGCTTGATTAAGGCGGTTAGTAAAGTGGTTCTTATTACATATTTCTCTTTTTGAGTACTGTAATGATGTTTCAGTGCTTACCATCTAAGTTAGTCTTTTCCTTCCCTCACTTGTGCTTAAATTAAATTTCTGTATTTTGAACTTGCAGGTGAAATCGATGTCACCTCATGCATTGAGTGCATCTGTTAGTGACATTGGTTCAGTTGTTAGTATGATTGATAGGATAGCAGGGTCTGCCCCAGGTAATGGATCTAGAGCGGCAGTCGGTGAGGATTTGGTTGCGATGACAAAGTGTCGTCTGCAAGCAAGAAACGTTATGACTCATGATGGATCAAATGGGACTAGGAAGATGAGGCGCTACACTAGTGCCATGCCCTTAAATGTTGTGTCTTCAGCTGGCAGTATGAATGATAGTTTCAAGCAGTTGATCAATTCAGAGACATCTGACCTGGAGTCAACTGCAACATCTCGTATTAAGAGGCCTAGGGTTGAGGTATTAATCATTTTTTTTATACTCACTAGAAATTACATCTGCTTTAACTTCGGGCAAACTTAAAATAATTAAAGTTTCACATTAAAAATGTATATTTCCAGCAAGACTTCAAAGCTAGTTGTTTTGCTGTGCACCTATGCATACACTTGATGTGACTGGAGTGCTTTGGCAATTGGTACATTCTGAGTTGCATTTGCCTGTGTGCGAGTTAACTGTTCAAGATGCTAACTTTTGTTGAACGATTATTTTTTTGGGGTGTGTGCATGTCACTATGTCTGTCCATTGCTGATCTGGACTCAACGTTGCTTATTTAAAGAATTCCTTTCTCGGAGCTTTTCAATGTCTGACAAAAAATGGGCTGTTCCTGCTTCTTCCTTGGACATAAGTGTGTGGCTTGTCTTGCAGGCTAATCATGCTCTTCTGGAAGAAATAAGAGAAATAAATCGGCTGCTTATCGACACAGTTGTTGATATCAGTGATGAAGATGTTGACCCTAGTGCAGCCGCTGCTGAAGGGGGTGAGGGGACTCTTGTCAAGTGCTCTTTTGATGCTGTGGCTCTCAGTCCAAGCTTGAAATCACAGTATGCTTCAGCACAAATGGTGGGCTCTCAAATGTTAATGCCATGAATATTTTACATTTCTTCAAAATATTAAATGTATTGTATTTACTTGGCTTTTAATATTTTGCAGTCACCAATTCAGCCATTAAGACTGCTTGTTCCCACAAATTACCCCAACTGCTCTCCAATACTCTTGGACAAGTTTCCAGTCGAAGTCAGGTGAGAAAATAAGGATTCTGACTTTAGATGTTGCTGCTGTTACATAAACTAAGAGACCTGGCATTTCCTACTGCGCATTCTCAGCTGTACGGGCTTGTGCCCTTTTTCTTTTACCACCTTCTGGTGAAATCCTATTTCAAATGTTATCTTTTCTCGATGAAAAAAAAGCTCATTAGATGCATGCTCTGTTTCCCAATTCAATTTATATCTTGTCTCACTAAAAGTATGTGGTGCCATGACGATAAGACAGAATGTCTCAATTATTTTTTCGGTCTCTTAAGAGTTTTATGTACTCATTTTGGTTTCACATGTTAAATTTAAAAGCCTAAATTTGACTGTAAATGTTCTACTTTTACAGTAAAGAGTATGAAGATCTTTCTGTGAAGGCCAAATCGATGTTTAGCATATCTCTACGAAGCATTTCACAACCCATGTCCCTTGGGGAGATAGCAAGGACTTGGGATGTTTGTGCACACGCAGTTATTTCTGAGCATGCGCAGCAGAGCGGTGGAGGAAGTTTCAGCTCAAAGTACGGGACATGGGAGAACTGCTTGAGCGCTGCTTGATCGATCCTGTATTTATCCTTGAACAAAGGTATTCCGAGGATTGTTGTGTTAACGGCGATGATATTTCGCTGTGATGTTTGAAGCAGTTTTTGGATAGTCTATAGGCAGACATGTATAGGAGGAACTTGCCTTAGTCTGTTGTGGGAAATAATCTTGAGGGATTTATTAACTCCTTGTTGGTTTTTGTTGAAAGTGCGGCCTTAAGCCGCTTTGTGCCTTCTGTTTGTAAAGAATACTGTATCAATATTTTCCTTTGGTTGTTTATAAGATGGGGATATCCAAGTAGAGAGTAATTGAGCTTGGCAGAGTCGGGTGAGATCAAAATACACGGAGTCCTATGTTTTTGTAAAAAAACCTCTATGAATGGCGTGGTCGAACTCATGTTTTATCTTTATTTGGTGATGAGAAGTGCTAGCATTAGTGACGCATGTCACACACTTAACGCATTTTGACACCTTGATCAATGTGGGTCTCACAATGGGTCCCGCACTCATCCACCTCTCGTAGCACATCAGCTACGAGAGGTTCTTGGGTACGACACCTCCAATCCGGGTGGTGTTGGGGAAGGCGATCAAAAGTGGTCAGGATAGCATGACAAATTAGGGAGGTGGGGTAGGGAATGATTTTTTGTGTCTGGATATGTAGGGGTGAGATGGTCCGGAAATCAGACCTTAGAATTTCCCATCAATACTAATACTCCTTATGCAATCACATTTGGCAGAGTTTCACATAGGAGATATAACAAAATAATAGACAGTGAGGGAGAGGATTGTTGTCCTTGCACCACGGCGTGGGTTCGGACTCTGTTGGCTCTAACATCTAATCTAACAAATCTATCGTTTGACAAAAAAAAAAAAAGATATCACTGATAACATTTTTGATATCACTAATAACATTTGACACAATAATGACAAAATAAAGAGTAAAGTGAATAGTACCATGATTGACTTTTCAGTGTAAAAATATGGTTTTTGAACAGTACCGGGAGTTTTACGTTAAAGTTCACAATAATAAATAGATAGAATATTGGCATTTCCAATAGAGAAAAAAAAAAAACAAAATAAATCTGAAGAAAAAAAAAGACTTGTTCCGCACGCATCAATTTGAATTCGAGTCTTTGATCCGGATCCCTCCCTTTCTGCAGTTTTCCTTTGAATTTTCATATCGCTCCAGTTCAAGCTGCCTGCATTTTTCAATCTCCAACTCTTCTCAAAGAAAACGGTAATTATTATTTTTTGTCAAATATTTTGTTTTTCTTTTGAATTTTAACCGAAAACACCATTGTTGTGCATTTTTATGTCCTCTGATTCTTGTAAATCGTAATTTTGTTTCAATTGCATACGAATCGAAAGTTTGGGTTTTTGTTTTTCATCTGTGAATTTATGGATTTTATATTGGGGATTTTTCATGACGGAATCATGTTAAAAACCATCTAAAATTGATACCTTTTCTGACATTAAAATAATAAAATGCATTAATTTTTTTGAAATTATATCATCCATCGAATAATTTTATCAAATTTTCTACAAATTTGGTAGGTCTCAATCGAACTTGCCCAATCTTCAAGTCTTCTCAAGAAAAAGGGTTTTTCTTTGGGGTTGATTTTATATTCTTTTGAAAATTAATCGATTAGGGTTCTGTCATTGTTTGTTAATTTCTTTTTTCTTGTCCTCTGATTGCGTAGATCGTATTGGGTTTTCGATTGTATGTGAAAATTGTAAGTTCTAAAACAAAATCATGTTTAAAATCAGTTTAAGCGGATATATTTTATGGAACAAGAATGCCTTAATATTTAGAAACTCTATCATCCTTCAAATTTATTGAATTTTGTACAATGTATGAGCCCTCTTAAGTGTGTTTCATTTGAAAGTTGCTCAATCTTGTGTTTTCTTTGTTTGACAGTTGGTCGGGTTTCTTGCATTCGATGGATACCAGCAATCGGAGGACTACTCAAGCTGGAGAGCCCTCCATGGATTGGAGGAGCCGGCTATGGCCAAATGCAAGGCAAAGAGTTGTCAACAGGACGTATGTGTTTTTGTTTTTTAGATAACTTGCCGCGTTGAATTATTTATCATGAACTCACTGTTATTTGTTATGAACATGTAAAGAATTGAATTGTTGAAGAACCATCTTCCCGACTCTGGTCAAGCGGCATTACAAGAAGTCAAGAAAAATGCTATAAGCTTTGAGGAAACGGTTTACACTTCTGCCACTAGTAAGGTACTTCCGCACCTCTCTTTGGCCGTAAATTTAATTCTTCGTGGTACATGACGTGTAAGGGTACTTGCATATGTTATGTATTCTAAGTTTAGCGTGCCGTGGACTGGATTTCTGTGCAGTTGGATTATCTGAGCAAAATTAATCTGTATTTGCACACATTGGAGACCAATTCGCAGAATACAATGGCCAAATATTTGCAATTGAACTCTGGTAGTAATAGCAACAGGCCCCGTGATCCAGGTAAACAACTGTGAAAACTGTGCTCCTATTTCATGCACCCCCATAGATTTGAGTTACTCTGTCAACTACCTCTTTTGTCTCCCAGTATGCGTGCTTTATGAAATGGATGAATAGTTTTTTGTATTCAACATAATGAGAGAGAAGTTCTGCCATTTCCTTGATCATGACATTTCTTACCTGAGATGAGATTCATTGTTGATATGTGTATCTGCTTGTATTGTGTAAATTCAAGACTCGAATCTACTTGCTATGTACATTTTTTGTTAACAATTTTCATTCCTTTAAAGCAACGGATCAAATGTTGAGTGTGATGGTGTTTATGATCTTGGTTTGACACTTGATTATTTATGGGGAAATGTTTATTTGGTGTTCTTTCTGTTTTATTTGAGTAGGGTCTTTTGGTATGCAACCCCAAGTGCCGAATCAAGGGCAATCACTCTTTATGCCGTTGTCAGCAAATCAATCTCAATCACACCAACAAGTGTTGGCACAGAACATTGAGAATGAAATTCCACCTGCTGGAGTTCAAAGTTCTGCTGGCTTTTCATCTGCAGTACCTACTTCTTCCGGTTTAACCCAGGCTCCTATTCCAAAAATAATTGGACAAAATTCAAACATGCAAAATATGTCTGGAACTTCACAGACCCTTGATATGATTTCTAATTCTCAAAGCCAAATGCAACAGATATTTCCACAACAGGAGTGGCAGGAGCAAGGATATATCCCAAAACTTGTGCAATCTCCACTAGAACAGCAGCAACAGCAACCAACTCAGTCGCAGTCCTCTCAGAAATCTGTTAAGCACATATTAAATCTTAACAAACCTTCTGTGGTGGAATCATATCTATCTAGTCTTCAACAGAATCAACAATCTTCCATTCATCAGTCAACACAGTCTATGGTTCAGCTGCATCCACAGTCAGTTCTCGGGGGTCCCCAACAAGCGAACAAGAATGCCTTGTCATTACAGAGTGGGGTTAATACAACACAGGAAATTGATTCCCTTCATTCGAGTTCTGGTATGCTTCAATACCAGCATATAAGACAAGATCAAGAAGAGCAAATGCATCAGAATCTAGTCAACATACAATTTCAGCAGCAACAGATGCAGAAGCAGCAGATGCTGGAACGGCAGCAGCATCAGCAGCGATCACAACAGCAAGCGAAGCTGTTGCAGTCACACCACCAAGCCCTGCAGCAGCAGCTACAGAAGCAGTTAGAGCCGCAAGAAAAGCAGAAGCTTCCGGTACAGCTGCAGGTGCATGAAGAACAAACACCAAAGGTTCATCAAATCCATGATGCAAACTTGAAGATGAGAGCGGGGATGGATGTAACGCCAAGAGTGGTTCTTCATCAACATACCTTCACAGATTCCCCTCAGCAGTTGAAAGCAGGATCTCCAGTTCCTACTTCCTCAACCACCCAACTCCCTCAGGTTGCATCTCCTCAAAGTTCGCAACATTCTTCTCGACAAGCTGACCAGCAGAATCTAGTGACTCGCCCAAAAGCTGGAATCCCTGGTCATTCTGCAAGTTCACCAATTGTCATCCCATCTCCTTCAACTCCCAGGACTCCATCCCCGATGCCAGGGGATTCTGAGAAACCTTCCTCACTCTCAAATGCTGAGAATGTTGGACATCAACAAGCAACTGGTGTCGGAGCACTGGTCAAGTCTGTTGCCATTGGCACCCCTAGGGTATCAGCCTCTCCTTCACTTTCTGAAACTAGCAAACCAGATAGTCCTCATGTTAATGCTTTGTCAACTGTCTCTAGCAATTCGAGTGTTACAGAGCAGCCTCTTGAGTGCTTAATTAAAGCGGTTAGTAAAGCTGTCTTTTTGCTTCTCACTTTATTGGAGTGGTTATAATGATGTTTTAGTAAATACTAAGCTCTCGTTTTCCTCAAAGTTTTCCTGCAGTAGTGTGTGACATAAAATTTCTGGATAATTTTCAGGTGAAATTGATGACACAAGATGCATGGATTTCCGCTATCAGTGACATTATCTCAGTAGTCAATATGACTGATATAATACCAGGGTCAGCACCAGGTAATGGATCTAGAGCTTCAGTTGGTGAGGATCTGGCTGCGATGACAAATTGTCGTCTGCAAGAAAGCAATGTTATGACTCCTGATGGAAGAAATGGGACTAAGAGAATGAGGTGCTCTTCTAGTGACGTGCCCTTAAATGTTGTGTCATCTGCTGACAGTACGGATGATAGTTTCAAGCAGTTGTCCAGTTCAGAGACATCTGACCTAGTGTCAAATGCAACATCTCGTATCAAGAGGCCTAGGACTGAGGTACTAATATTTTGTTTGGTATATACTTCTAAAAATGACTGCTGTTGCAGTGGTAAGGCTGTGATTGGGCCCTATTAAATAGGTAACTTGCATGAAGAAAATGAAATTTCTAGTAACGCGGTTAAGTGTTAAGCTAGCTAGTTGCTTTTCCGCGCACCTATGCATACACTTTTGAGTGCCTGGAGGGCTTTGGCGCATCATGAGATGAGGCATTTGTTTCCATGTAAGTCGGCTGTTCAAGATGTTTCCTTGTTTTTGGATTGGAGAAGAAAAGAAATATTGTTGAATGAAGTTATTGTGGTTAAGAAAAATAAAACAGCATTTGAGGGCATAATGTTTCTTTTTCCTGTGAGGGGAGAGAGACGGAGAAAAGAAAGAGAAAGAGATTCATTATTCGATCAAGGATTTGCCGAATCAACCTTAACATATATCCTACATTGTTGGTCTTTAACTTAATCTTGTTTTTCTTTTTGAAGAATTTCCCATCTTGGTGTATTTCAATTTCTGGTCAGTAGGCTTATGTTTGTCATTGGACATAATGTGGCTTATCTTGCAGGCTAATCATGCTCTTTTGAAAGAAATAAGAGAAATAAATCGGCAGCTTATCAACACAGTCGTTGTTAGCAATGATGAAGATGTTGACCCTAGTGCAGCAGCCACTGCTGAAGGGGATGAGGGAACCATTTTCAAGTGCTCTTTTGAAGCTGTGGCTCTCAGTCCAAACTTGAAATCACAGTATGATTCTGGGAATATGGTGGGCTCTCGAACGTTAATGCAATGACTTGTTACCTGTCTTCAAAATATTTTAACTTCATATTTACATGCCTTTAACATTGTGCATTGTGCATTGTGCAGTCAAAAATTCAGCCACTAAAACTACTTGTTCCCACCAATTATCCTGAGTCCTCTCCGATACTCTTGGACAAGGTTCCAGTCAAAGTTAGGTGAGTAAATGAGGACTCTGACCTTACATGTTGCTGCTGTTACATAAACTAAGAGATGTTGTATTTCCGATTGTGAATTCTTAGCCATACGGTAGGGGCTTGTATCTTTTTTCTTTATTCTGGTGAAATCTTATTTCGTTTCAAAAAGACAATACCCATTAAACGCATGCTTTATTCCCCAGTTCAATTCATAGTTTGTAAGTAAAAGTTATGAGATGCCTCAACAGTCAAGCAAAGGATCGATTAATGTTTTTCGTTTCAGTTTTGAGATTGTAAACTTATTTTACTTTCATGTGTTTAATCAAAATGTTTTTCTTACGATTTGACTCTAATTTACTTTTACAGCAAAGAGTATGAAGATCTTTCTGTGAAGGCAAAGTCAAGGCTTAGCACATCTCTACGAAGCATTTCACAACCCATGTCACTTCGGGAGATAGCAAAGACTTGGGATGTTTGTGCTCATGCAGTTATTTCGGAGCATGCGCAGCAGAGAGGTGGTGGAAGTTTCAGCTCAAAGTATGGAACATGGGAGAACTGCTTGAGCGCCGTTTGATTATTTCTGCAGACCCAAACAAATCTATCTTAAGGGAAGTTATCGTGTTATGAGAACCGTTATGCAAAATTTTCTTCCGCTGTTTTGCTTTGATGATTGAAGCAGTTTTTGGATAGTCAGTGGGCAAGCATGTATAGGATAAACTTACCAGAAGTAAATAATATTGGGATAGATTTTAACTTCTCCAGAGGTTAGTTATACTTTGAATACTGTAAATCATCTGTGATCGCCTATATGTTTTCGTTGGCTTGAAAATGCCACGCAATGAATGCAATGTTTTCCGACATTGATCTGTTTGTAAGTTTGTATAAAGCATTGTGTCATTTACTCAATATTCAGTGAGGAATTTGCAGTGGTTACACTTTTAAGCAATGCAGAAATACAGGTCGGATCATCAGGTTCAATTCCAGTTCAGATGTATAAAGTTTTCACTACTATCGTACTCGTATTTTGATGGAAAGTGCACCGAACAAAACTAGAAACATCAAATAAACCGACGCGCAGAGGACAGTTGCTTATATTGTATAGCGTTTGATAAGAAATTTGGAGAGAACAAAATTTGGAACACCTCTTGCATCTAAATCCAAAGACACTGAGAAAAGCACAACTGCTGCAAACTTACAGCATGCATACATGCCAACAATTGGATTTATTACAAACGTAAACAAGACGACGAGAAAAATGCAAATGCAGACCGGAAGCTGGCCTGATTGTGCTCAGATCAAATTGTTCTTCGTAGCAATCGTGGCAGTTTTGTTCTATGTCTTTGATGGCTTTAACAAAGTGGTGTAAACCAGTATTCGGAGTTGGATTGCGCTCCAGCAGGCAAAGCAAGTACCATGATTTAATTCTTTCCAGCGTTTGTAAGTTCAATCCACGGTGTAATGGTCCAATTGAAAGTAATTCTGGAACTTACACTATGTCGATTTCGCAACACATTAGGAAAAATATAGAATGCTGAGCTCGCAACAGAGATTGCTGCTGAAGTCTCCCTTGAACGGAGGATGCTAGCGCTTCATATTCATTCCTCCTCCCATTATTTGCTGCCATCTCAGGTCAGTTCATCTGCTTTTTATGTAGCAAACACGGAAACTTTTACAACCAAACACGAGAATTCAAGCTCACCACTAATTTTACTGTGCTTTGTTTATGTAACACTTCTTCACACTGCTTCTGATAAACATCATATATATATATATATATATATATGTAAATATATACACACACACACACACACATGTATATGTATGTAAGTGAAAAGAAGAAAATATGAGAGAACATTCGGACAGGGTTGTATAAGTCTATGTAGGGGATCAAAACTTACGCAGAGATGATCGAATTTCGACGCAACAATCCTCCTTGCAGTCTCTTGCTTGGATTTAGAGCATGATCTCCATATCTCATGCAGGTCGGAGTCTTTTTGTTTTTTCTCACTGGGGAGAGCAGAAGGAGAACGACGGAGAAATTGAAAGATGTCGAAGTATTGTAACAGTGTACAAAAAGACTTGTATGATCAAAGGACCAAGAACACCTGAAGAAATTTCATTACTTAGTACTTACACCTATGACGTATATGATACATCGTGCATGACTAAACGAACTCCAATTTGGAGGATTTTTTTTGTAAGAATGATCTTTTAATGTAGATGAAGAAATTGAACAGTTCCGAATATGAAATCTACACAGAAAAGATACGTTATTTGAAAGTGATGGAATGAGCTCATCCCAAGGAGAGAACGCAATCATTATCCAAAAAGTAATCGGAATCGTTCAATTTCTTAATCTTCATTTGAAGATCACTACTACAAATGTAACAAATAGATCAATAATGTAGGTACTAATCAACATATTTCATGATAAACCGTCCATGCGGTTGATTTCAAGTCTTTTTATATACTGGTAGAATACTCCTCATAAGAGTTAACTACTTTTCTTTGGTTTGGCATGGTCTTAGCTTCTTCTTTATTTTCTTCTTGGTTTGGTGCTCACAAAAGAAAAATAAATGCAAAAAGAAAAGGGGACTGGGGTTTCTACTTTTGTGTGGAGTTTCTACTAAAAAAATATTGCATGTGACTGTAACATGATTCATCGATCCTCTTCATTCGGACTTGAGGCTCTCATATTCTTAATTTCACTTAGAATTCCACTTGATTGAGAAAATTTTTTAGTATCAGAAATACAGTCAGTACAATAAATGTGATAATACAATTTGTTGTAAATTTGATTTTTTTTTTCAATCAATTATATCATTACAATTGATTTGCTGAACTTACTTAAAAATTGCTTCACCAACTTTTAGACAATGGCCACTGGAGCAAGTTTCTAAAAATAGAGAAAACCGGTACGGTCCAACCCGAATAAAACCAAGCCGGGGGCCCTAACCCGGCAGCACAGCCATTCGTTATTAAGAATTTTAATGGAAAGCTTTTGTAGTGTTTACTTTAACAAAAAATCATATTTTTACACTAAAAAGTCAATTCTGTTGTGGTCTATTTTATCTGACAGAGGGACTAGGGCCGGCGGCAGAGAGAGAGAGGAGAGAGATGTGTGTTTGTAGAATTGTAGGGGAATGTGTGTGTTGTTATCCCTCCTACATTGTGCCTTTATTTATAGTAGTAAAGGGAGAGAAGATATTCCTTCTCCTCCAAGTAATACAAGTTGCAATAGGAAAGGATAACTAGAATCAAATCTTATCTAGGATTTACACAATCATACTTAAACTAGGAATGTTTACAACACTCCCCCTTGAGTGGGTAAATACTCAAGGTAGATTCAGCATCATGCAGAAGTTGAGGAAGTCGACTCGTCGGCAATGATTCCAAGGAACAACGCTTATTCTCAATAAGGTAGGAACTTGCATAAGTAGTAAGTCTCACTAAAAAACCCTAAGGCTATGGCAAAAACCCAAGTAGGGACAAAATCCATAGTCTAAGGAAAAATGCGTGAGAAATGCAAAGTCAAAAGAAACATCTACAGGACGTCATTAGGGATATGACCAGCCCAAGGTGGGTGCCTCGTTAAAACCTAGTTAGGTAGCAAAAACCCAGTGGGAAAAATGCTCCTAATCGTAGGGAAAAAGAGTACATTAAGATCAAGCAAGTATCTAGAAGATACTCCCCCTGAGTTTGACATAATTCCACAGAGAAATAGCAAAGTTACAACTCAGAAAGTTTACGCATACCAATTCCATGAACAAGCTTCTGAAACGTCGCCTTCGGTAGTGATTTGGTGAAGAGGTCGGCCAGATTGTCTTGTGATCGGATTTGCGTGACTTCAATCTTCTGATGCTCTTGTTGTTGATGTGTAAAGAAGAACTTCGGCGCAATATGCTTGGTGTTGTCTCCTTTGATGTAACCCTTCTTGAGCAGTTCGATGCAAGCTGCGTTGTCTTCAAAAATCGTCGTCGGGGCATTAACGGCGGGATGAAGATCACAGGAGCTTCGAATATGGCCCACCACTGCTCTCAACCAAAAGCATTCCCGAGTTGCTTCATGTAAGGCGAGAATTTCAGCATGGTTAGACGACAAGTGGCAACTAAGGTCTGTTTAGTTGACCTCCAAGATATTGCGGTGCCTCCAACGGTAAAGACATAACCCGTTTGAGAACGCGCCTTGTGCGGATCAGATAAGTATCCAGCGTCGGCATAACCAACAAGGCGAGAATCAACCCGATGAGCATAGGGTGCGGCATCACTCGAGGATTCGTAGGGATAGAATAAGCCCAAATCCGTAGTACCCTTAAGGTAACGGAAGATGTCTTTCACGCCAGTCCAATGTCTGCGTGTTGGTGCATTGCTGTATCTTGCCAAAAGATTAACAGCGAAGGAGATGTCGGGTCTAGTGCATTGAGCTAAGTACAATAAAGCGCCTATCGCACTTAGATAAGGAACTTCAGGCTCCAAAATCTCTTCATCATCCTCATTCGGACGGAAGGGATCTCGCTTTGCATCTAGCGTACGAACGACCATAGGAGTACTCGAAGACTTCGCTTTATCCTCATTAAAACGGCGCAACACCTTATGGGTGTAGTTCGATTGATGTACTAGGATTCCATCCGAACAATGCTCTATCTCGAGGCTGAGACAGTATCGAGTCTTACCTAGATCTTTCATCTCAAATTCTGACTTCAGGTGCGAAGTAGTTCTCGCGAGCTCTTCAGGAGTTCCGATGAGATTCATGTCATCGACATATACTGCAACAATCGCAAATCCGGAATGTGACTTCTTAATGAACACACAAGGGCATAGTTCGTTATTCACATATCCCTGACTAGTCAAATACTCACTTAAACGGTTATACCACATTCTTCCGGATTGTTTCAAACCGTATAGTGAACGCCTCAGCCGAATTGAGAGCGTGTTCCGGGGTTTGGAAATATTTGAACCAGTCAATGTAAGTCCTTCGGGAACTTTCATATAAATTTCCGTATCAAGATCCCCATAGAGATACGCGGTTACTACGTCCATCAGCTGCATATCCAGTTTTTCGGAAACTACCAAACTGATAAGGTATCGAAAAGGAATCACATCCATAACGGGTGAGTAAGTTTCGTCATAGTCAATCCCGGGGCGTTGTGAGAAACCTTGTGCTACAAGACGAGCTTTGTAACGCACAATTTCGTTATTCTCATTACGCTTCCGAACGAAAACCCACTTGTAGCCAACGGGCTTCACATGTGGAGGAGTAGGAACTACAGGTCCAAACACCTTACGTTTCGCAAGTGAATCAAGTTCGACTTGGATTGCTTGTTTCCAGTTTGACCAATCAGCTCTACGTCGACATTCATCAACGGAACGCGGTTCAATGTCATCGCTCAACATGATCTCAGTAGCTACTGCAAATGCTAATGCATCGTCGACAATCATCTCATTTCTACGCCACACATCATCTAAGCTAGCATAATAGACCGAAATCTCACGATTCTCGGGAGGAGGATTCGTCTCTTCAAGGACGCTTCCATAATCTAGAATTTCCTCATGAGTTGGGTAAAATGAGTAAGCGATAGTCGGATTCATGGTAGGCTCTTCAGGACCTTGTGCTGTGGTTTTCCTCTTCCGGGGGTGTGAATCCTTTGAACCAAGGGGTCTGCCACGCTTTTGTGTAGGGGCAGATGATTGGCTAGCCGCTAATGTACGTGGATCACCAGAATTGGCGTCCCGGGCTTCCAGGAGGGTAGTCCGTCGTACATTTGGTACATCCATCTTTGCAGGCGTATTCGCAGCTGGAATATGTGATCTTGTCACGCGTGCTAGATCGGTGAAAGCATCTGGCATGCTCTGAGCTATGCTCTGGAGATCTAATATGCGCTATATGCGCTGCACTTCAGCTTCAGACTGAGCGGTGCGGGGATCTAAATGAGACAAAGTGGGAGTCGTCCACGATAATTCACGTCGTTCATTAGGAACGTTGACGTTCTTATCTCCCCCTAACGACGGGAAGACTGTCTCATAGAAGTGACAATCCGCGAAACGAGCGGTAAACAGATCGCCTGTCAAAGGTTCTAAGTAACGAATAATCGAAGGAGAATCATATCTGACATAGATTCCCATCCTTCGCTGAGGCCCCATTTTTGTACGTAAGGGCGGCGAGATCGGCACATAGACCGCACAACCAAAAACGCGCAGATGCGATATGTCGGGTTCGCATCCGGTGACCAACTGAAGGACACTAAATGGTTGTGTCGCAACAGGCCTCAGGCGGACCAACTTTGCTGCGTGCAATATTGCATGGCCCTAAGCAGCGATCGGGAGCTTGGTACGTATGACCAACGATCGAGCAATCATTTGTAAACGCTTAATGAAAGCCTCTGCCAGGCCGTTCTGGGTGTGAACATGGGGTACAGGATGTTCAACTTCAACCCCAACCGACATGTAATAGTCATCAAAAGTTTTAGATGTGAATTCTCCAGCATTATCCAATCGAATAGATTTGATCGGATAATCAGGGTGGTGAGCCCTGAGCTTGATAAACCTGAGCCAACAGTTTGGAGAATGCAGCGTTCCTTGTGGACAACAAGCACACGTGTGACCAACGTGTAGAAGCGTCAACCAAAACCATAAAATATCTAAATGGTCCGCAGGGAGGTTGAATCGGTCCACAAATGTCCCCCTGAATCCGTTGTAGAAAAAATGGGAGGATTCGAACGAATCTTGTCATAAGAAGGCTTAGTAATAAGCTTTCCCATAGAACATGTTTGACATGCAATTTCATGGATCGAACCTAAGCTTCGGGTTAGTGGATGCCCGTGTGAAGTTTTGAGGATACGGCGCATCGCTATTCGTCCAGGATGTCCCAAACGATCATGCCAAAGTGTAATTTCGTGCGCGGTCCCTGTGGTAGGGCCGGCCACATAGTGGCATTCTATGGGGCGTATGGTCGTAGTATACAGACCACTCGGGTTACGCTTCATCTTCTCTAGAATACGCTTCTGGCCATATTCGTAGGAAGTTACGCACAGAAATTCAACTCCGTTTTCTACGTGGGTTTCAGCGTGGTAATTGTTATCTCTAATGTCCTTGAAACTTAGTAACGTTCTTCCGGAACGTGGAGAATAGAGTGCCTCAGCAATGGTCAAGATTGTACCATTGGACAACATTATACGTGCCTTACCGTATCCTTCGATCAGGTTGGATGGGCCTGAGAGGGTTGTCAGAGGTGCATTCTTAGGTACGAAGTTAGTGAAATAGATGCGTTCACGCAAAACAGTATGCGTGGTTGCACTATCTGCCAGACAACTAACTTTCCCACTAGTCATACCTAGAATGAAAAATTAATTTGAATCGGTCATATGCATAAAAGTTTATAAAAACAAGTATCAATTCAAAAAATAATTTCATTTATTCAAGGAAAAAACTTAATATCCAAAATAAATCGCCAACTAATAATCCAAAACATAAAGGAAAATTGTTCAAAATCAACCAAAAACAAGGTGGGGTTCGGCCACAAGGTGGAATTCGGCCCCAATTGTCTTATTTTAACTGAAAAATAAGTCTATGTCTAAGATTCTAATCTTCCATAGGAGTGGTATCCTCCTGAAAATCAGAAACCTCCATCTTTGTAGTCTCCGGTTCGTCCACTTGCAGGAAGTTTGATTCAAACTTCGTACGACGAGAATGATATGCATCCACAACCTTCTTGGGAGCACGGCAAATACGGGACCAATGGTCCTTGGAACCACAACGATAACACATATCGTCATTCATTCATTGTGGCAGGTGCTTTGCCCTTATTCTTGAAGTTCGGGGCCTTGGGAGCGAGGTTTGGGCGCTTCTGGGCTTTGTTTCCTCCCTTGGATGGGCCTTGGCTCTGTTGACCTTGGTGGGATGGCTTCTGGCCGCCCTTACCACGCCTCTTTTGGCGTTTTGGGTACTGATTAGTGCTAAAATGTGCTTCAGGCACAGCAGTAGCCCCAGTAGGTCGAGCTTGATGATTCTTCATCAACAGCTGGTTCTGCTTTTCAGCAAGAAGTAAAACAGAGATCAAATCCGAGAACTTAGTGAACTTCTGAGCTCTATATTGTTGCTGCAGGACAATATTAGAAGCAGAGAAGGTCGAGTAGGTCTTCTCCAGGAGATCCTCTTCAGTCAAAGTTTCATTGCAAAACTTGAGAAGTGATCGGATTCGACAAACTTCAGAATTATATTCATTCACAGACTTAAAGTCTTGGAAGCGCAAGTGCTGCCAGTCGTGTCTTGCTTCAGGCAAGAATATGTCCTTTTGGTGATCGAAACGATCAGCCAAAGCGACCCATAATGCACGTGGATCCTCCTCAGCAAGGTACTCAGTTTGTAGAGCGTCATGGATATGTCTTCGGATGAAGATCATAGCAGTGGCTTTTTTTCAGCCTCGCCAACAGGTTTATCTGTTGCTTCTTCAATAGCAGGACGCAAGTTCTTTGCAGTGAGGTGGAGCTTCACATCTTGAACCCACTTGAGGTAGTTCCTTCCAGAAACCTCCAAAGCGGTGAAGTCGAGTTTGTTCAAGTTCGACATGTTCCTATCACAAAAATAGATGGACAAGATGTGGTTAGTGTAATGGAGAAAAATCAATCCATTCACATAGGAGTAGAACATACAGGTTCTAATAGACATGTATTGGTTTAATTTTGGCATGAAAAACTTCGGGTTTTCATGGGTGATATGTTTAAGTGAAAACTTCGGGTTTTCTAACAAGGCATGTGTATAAGAAACTTCGGGTTTCAAAGTAATTATGAACTTCAGGTTCATATATTCCTGCAGGCAAACACAAATATATATGCAAACAAATATGCAAAGAATATATGCAGAAATATTGTATAATGATAAGTGAATTAATTTATTTTTGGTCTTCGGGGCCAAATTAAAGTGTGGGTGAAAATATAAAAACCCATATTATTTAAAAAAATTAAATAATAAAATCTCGGGGCCTAAAAATATAGGCGGAGGACCCCCGGGTGTAGGCTGCAGGCCCACGGGGTGAGAAGGGAATGGGCTGCTGTGTGCAGCCCTAAAAAAAATTTCTCTTTTTTTTACGGTATGGGCCGCTGCAGGCGAGCCCAGGAAAATAAAAAAAACAAATTGTTTTCTTTGTGGGCTGGGCCGCTGCAAGCGAGCCCAGCAAAAAAAAATTGTTTTTTTTTTCTTTTGTTACACGGGCCGAGAGGCTGGAGCCCACTAGGGCTCGGGTTGGAACCAGGAACACCCCAGCTTTTGCTGGGAACGGTTGCCGGAGCACGCCACTGCAGGTGGCCGTGTTCTGGGAGGCTATCGATCGTGGGAAACACGGGGGTCCAACTGGGGAACCAAATATGAACGGAGATTGGAGAAATCTCGACGTTATATCAACCAAACCCTAGAAAATTTCAATCGGATTTATGAAAAATTCCGATGAGATCTCAGAAAATCTCAGACCATAGGACACCGTGGACGATCTGCAGGTCGTCTGAGTAGGCTAGGCACGGCGACAGGCCGTGCAGCATGGTGATGGATGGGTGGCGACACTGGCTGGGTGTCGGGTTTGGGGTTTGGACGAGGAGCAGAAGCTCCAGCCGTGATCTTGGGCTCGGAGGATCGATGCAGGCTGCAGGCCTGGTGAGGAAACCGAGCTGGGCCATCGCAGGCTGCGGGCCTGGTGGCTTGCGGCTTGCATGGTGCAAGTGCATGGGTTCGAAGAACCCTAATTCCCAAATCGCAAAAATTTGTTTCAATTCAAATATAATTATATGCATGTGGATTTCAATGAATCACATATTTACGTTGATGCATATGCAAATAATAGTTTCAATGCATGTACATATGTAGGATTCAATTCATGACAAATATCAAATTCACATAATTGTAGCAATTTTGATGATGAAGCATACACAATTTATGTAGAATCTAAAATACGTAAAACGTAAAGTTGGGTCATGCATCTTGGTGAATGTTCATGCTATCAGGGCTTGCAAAATATCGAGTTAAAAGCCGTTGTTTGGAAAGAACCTGATTGCGTGATGATATGGATGAACTGGTTTGATGCAGAAAAAAAATCTCCAATGTCAGATTCCTAAGCGCAGCGGTAGGAGCGTGCTGATAACGTGTTGTGGTCTATTTTATCTGACAGAGGGACTAGGGCCGGCGGCAGAGAGAGAGAGGAGAGAGATGTGTGTTTGTAGAATTGTAGGGGAATGTGTGTGTTGTTATCCCTCCTACATTGTGCCTTTATTTATAGTAGTAAAGGGAGAGAAGATATTCCTTCTCCTCCAAGTAATACAAGTTGCAATAGGAAATGATAACTAGAATCAAATCTTATCTAGGATTTACACAATCATACTTAAACTAGGAATGTTTACAACAAATTCTAGTACTATTCACTTTACCCTTTATTTTGCTCTTATTGTTAAAACTTAAAGTTTTAAGGATTTGGATCCTCTCCGAGGCAATTGGTCTGGATCCTCTGATCGGTGTCGGTGGGCCGTTGAATTTTTATCCAACAGCTACAATTATTATAACTTTTAGAAGGTCTCTTGTTGGTAGCTGTTGGATATCCAACTGCCCACAGACACCGGTCAGGAGGATCCTAATCAATTGCCTTGGAGATGATCCAAATCCAAGGTTTCAAGTTATTTTCATTAGTTTTTATTTTTATTTTATATGTTTACAAACTGCAAAACGCTTCGTTTCCTCTCTCTTCTTCCTTTCTCTTTTGTTCAGAAGCGGCTAGCTTCTCTCTGGTCTGAGTCAATCGAAGAACAATTTTGAACCAGGTAAGACCCTAATTTCCAATCAATAGGAACTCGAATTCAGTTATTTACTCATGTATTCAATCTTTTGTTCGTGCCAGTTTTTGTACTTATAGTTATTGATTTATAGAAACAAATCCCAATATTGTTTGGGTTTACGTTTGGATGCTGAGAAAAACCCGATAGAAATTCAAAATTTTGTTCGAAGAATTGGGGAAATTAAGAGAGGATTGTTAATCATCTGTTTACTTTATATAATATATCATGAATTTGTTTGATTGGTTGCTGAGAAACGCATGGAAACGAAGAGAAATTGAAATTTTGGGTTGCATTAACTTGAAATTGGGTTCGATTTTAACTGGGGTGTTTTGCTAGAATCTTTCTGCATCCTGGGCTTCGTGTTTGTTGTGCCACCACTAGGTAAAGAACACCACTGTCGAATTGATGTGTGTTTTTTATTTGTTAGGAAATAAACTTGAATTTCAATACTCTCTTTCGCGTTTGTGTCTATGTACGTGGTCATTGTATTTTGATGTGCTTTGCAGTCAGATGTATATGATAAGCATTTTGCAAATATACGTAGTCATTGCAGGCTTGTGGATGATTGATGGATGTTGTGCTTATTGTTTGGTTGTCAGGTGTTGTAAAGACAGTTAGAAGACATGACGACGGCCGCTAGACCCACTTGGGCACCTGCGAAAGGTGGCAATGAACAAGGTGGTACTCGGATTTTTGGCCCATCACAGAAATACTCATCAAGGGACATGGCTGCCCATACATCTCTAAAACCCAGGTAGATCTTTCTCATTGTTTGTTACTGATTTTGATGTAAACTTTTTAGAGTGCATCACGTACAATTCTAAAACCCATGATTAACAAATGCAACTCTGCATATGTTTATACTTCTTTTTCCCCTCCAAATTTCCAGTATACTGTTTATCTTTCTGGTTCTGGTAATATGTGAGTTCGTTTTCCCGGGATTCTAATTTTGGACTTTGCCTTTCTTGGTATGCGTGTCTAACAGAAAGCCGGGGCAGGACACCCAGGATGAGTTGCAGAATAAAAACCTCCGGGAGGAACTGGAAGAGAGCGAAAGGAAGCATTATTCATCAAAGGATAAATCTTATAGTTGTATGATATCTTCCTCGCATTTTTTAACAAGCACTTGGGGGCTTGTTGACTAGTTTTTCTAATTGATATGTGCATTGTGCAGATGACAGAGATCGCAGGAGGGGGAACCAGCTGTTATTGGAAGGTGTATATTGTAGCTCTTACATTTTACTATTTAAGGTAGCAAGTTCATAAATAAGTAATCGCTCAATTTACTAACTACATAAAATATTTTTGCTCATAGGGGGCAGAAGGGACACTGAAATTGTGCCACGTAATATAGATGCTGATGATTCTGATGTGGAAGCCCAAAGTGATGATGAAAGGTTGGTATTCTTTGCATATATACTTGAATCCAAATGTATAACTATAAATAGTTCCGGTAAATTGCCAGCATAGCTTTGATGTTGAATTATTAAAGTTCTATCAAATATTTTGATGCAAGAGATGCTTGGATGTATAATAATAACTAATGGTTTTGTGAATTTAACCTAGAAGAATTGCTTATGTATTGACTAGATGAACGTTTATGTGTTCTAGTTCTTTTCACAGTTGCTATGGGCTTTATTCACTTACTTCCAACATGGAAACAATGCGCAGAATTTCATTGTTTACAATCACTCATGATTTGTCTGCTTACAGTTTAGTTTGGATATTTCTCAGTAGATAATATAAACATTCATGGTGGAGGTTGGTTTGCATAGTTATGAACTTTTTGCTTCCTGGGTTTCCATTTGAAACGGTAACAATATCTGCAAATCAAAAATAGCTGTGATGGACTATTAACTAGCCTTTCATTTGTCGATAGTAATGTTTTCTTCGCTTGCATAGTTCAATCCATTTCTTGCGGTGTAATGATATTACTACGTGTTTTCCTCCTATATCTGGCACATTTACTTTGATTATAGTGGTGAAGATGACGATGACGAGGAGGATGACATGGAAGCTCTATTGGCCGAGCTTGAACAAATAAAGAAGGAAAAAGCAGAGGAGAAGTTACGGAAGGTGAGCTTTCAACGAAGTGATGTGACAGAATATTTAAGATTATCAATTGCTTTGATATCGCTGAATATAACAAAAATGTACTTTATGCTTTCCACAGGAAAGACTAGAGAGGGAGGAAGAGCTTAAAGTCAAGGAAGCAGAGCTCCTCCGAGGAAACCCATTGCTTAATGGTGCAGCACCCGCATCATTTAGTGTGAAAAGAAGGTTAGTCACGTTTTTACTCCTAGCTTGTTCTGTGATCAAGTTAGGATTTTCCAATGGCTCCATTCAGTCCCTTTTTTCTAATAGCTCTAGTCTTTGTGGATCTTATGGCTCAGATGGGATGACGATGTGGTGTTCAAGAATCAGGCCCGCGGGGAAACCAAGACTCCTAAGCGCTTCATCAATGACACAGTCAGGAGTGACTTTCACCGCAAATTCCTGCAGAAATACATGAAGTAACATCGTAACATAAATCGCTCTCTTGAGACGTGACCCTCAAGTATCGAAGACCAAAGGGACGTTTCGTGTTTAACAGTTGTATGTACTGTAATGTTGGAATTGAATGCAGTAAAAATGTAAGCTGGATCTTGAGATTGAATGTTACCTGTTTATGAATGTTTCGAATTTGGTAATGCGATTGTTTATATATCTGTTTACTTAATTGCTTCGACGAAGCAAGCTACGGTTTGGTTTAATTCGGTCTAAGATTACTCTTTTTAGTGTTAAAACCAAATCAAACCGCCCAGCTGGTTCAAATATTTTGGCCGGTTTCTTGCTCATCTTATACAAGCGATATTCTACACTAACTCATTTATGTTACGAGAACGGAAATTCAGTTTCAAGGAGAAAGCTTTTCTTACTAAATTTAACTATGAAATTGAGTTTCCTTTTGTTTCAAGGAGAAAGCTTTTCGTACTAAATCAAAGTTAAGCTTGATTAGTGTAGTCCCTGGCCGTTAATGTTAGTGAAAAACGAACGAGATGGATGTTTGTTGTCCCAACCATTCTTGTTAGTCCCGATCCTGATAAGGAAAAGGGATAATTTATAACAAAGTTTTCGTGTGTTGATTCCTAGGAGTAGTGCTTCTTCCCCTATGCCCTCTATTGGTGGAGACCTAACCCATAGGTGTAACCTCCCGCTCAATACTCTAGAATCGACAATTGAAGCATCTGAGGCTGCATTAATCGTGGCCGTTAATGTTAGTGAGAAACAATTCGAGAATCGAACTTTAGGGAGAAAAAACCCCTGACCTGTCAACTGCGAGTGTCGGATGTAATAATAGTCGGTAAATTATGAATACTTAGGTCCGTGGAGATTTTGTTTTCATCGAAATGGCGTCTTATGTGTTAATGACTATACTTTAGTGTTTTGAGGGGTTGGTCTGTTAAGAGTCTTGAAAAAATTACAAATTGCGTGACGCTGAACTATCTATGTATACCAGGGACTCGCGCTTGGGATGTTTTCACCTTGTAATCACTTTGATGTGTATATAAACTACAAAGTCGCCAGACTATCATTTGGGACCATTTTGATTGTGTGAAATCTAGATTGAACATGCGGTTTCAAACTGTCTTGGTTTATTTGTATGGTGACGGATAAACTTCCAGTGTATTCAATTGAATCTTTGATTTGTATGAGATTGCTTATAATTTGATTTAAAATTTCTCTCTGTGCGCGTGTTTTCTTTTGCTTCTGAGTGTAGTTCTTGTCATTCTTATTGTTCTGAAATTGTGCTTAGAAACAGACTATATGTGTTGCTTACGGCAGTTCTTGTATCCATCTGAAGAGGGCTCGTACAAGTTGATAAGGTTTTTGGTGGAGAGGCTTTCAGATTCTTCTGAAGTTGGCGGAAAAGCTGGTCCAGAGGGTGACAATGATGAAAGGAAAGAAAAAGAAGGTAGCTCTGGAAGCAATTTGGAGGACCAAACAACTGTTGATGAGGAACCAGATCTTAGTCGTGACAAAGTTCGAGTCAAGTTGGACAAACTCACATTGAAGAGTCAAGTGCCTGAAATAAGTGTTAACGATGTGTACACCTCTAGCACAGGAAGATTCAACAAGGACAGACAAACTAATGTATTTAGCGGGAATCATTTGACTTGAAAAGTGCAAAATCAGGAGCAACTGCTCATGGAGGAGGTTAAAGCAAAAACTTCAGAACTTGAAAAAGAGCTGGAATTGGTAAAAGAAGCAGCAGATATGGCATTTGACGTCCATCATTCTGTTGAATTTCACTTTGAGAAACTTAGTGAGCAAGTAGATGTTCGAAGGCATCACCTTGGGGAATTGACATCACAGTGGTGAGATGTAAATCTTTATTTAATTGTTCATGACGACTAAGTTAGTTGTATATTGGACTAATATATACCTTTATAAAAACTAAACTTTAACGACTCATGTCTTCACGTGCTAGATATAAATATTGCAAATGGTACTACCTTTGCCAGCATATACGTATGTATTGTTTCATCTGTTACCAATGATTTTTTATTTTTCTCAGGGAAGCAGTCAGAAAGCCTTTGGAAGCAAAAAAGGAAAGTCTTCAGGTGTCTGTATATGCAAACAACCCATATGCTCAGGAAAAGCTCAGTCAGCTGAAAGATTATGAACTGGAAAAAGAATCCATCTTATTTGAAATTCGAAAAAGGTACGTTTTTCGAAATTAAATAAATGCAATTTCTGGGTCATATTGTCTATATGCTCCTGCTGTCTTCGAAACTTCTGTGGTTCGTGATAAAGTTTGGGAATCTTCAGTTTTTAGAAAGTAACATATTTTGTTATTAAAGGTACACGATGGAGGGATATATAAATTGTGATCAAAGATTGCCCATTGTCTGTTTCATTATCTTACTAATATTCAATTTCACAACTTCGGTTGCTTGCTTATTGGTGACGCATTTATGATTCTGTAGGGAGGAGGAACTTTCTAAACTGTCAACGGATCTAGAGAAGCAGCCCAAGCTGGCATCAAGAAAGTCCTACATTGAAAGGGGAAAGGAGATCACAAAGAACAGTCGCAAACAAGAAGCTGACATAAAGCAGATCTTAAAAGACACCAGGGAGCTTCATTTAGAGAGTAACTCTATCCAAGAACGTCTTCATCGGACGTATGCTGTTGTAGATGAAATGGTGTTCAGGTACGAAATTCATTTACCATAAACTGTCCGTGACTTAAAATACTTAGTTACGACAAGTCCATCACGGTACTTATTTGCAGGGAAGCAAAGAAAGATGCAGTTGGGAAGCAGGCTTATAGGCTTCTCACTAGCATCCACGAGAGCTTCGAACAGATTCGTGAGAAAATCTTGACAACTGATAGAATCCGACGAGAAGTAGGTGAACATGAAAAGAAGCTAGCAGCCATGGCCTCGCGAAGCTTAAACGTAGACAAACTACAAGCCGATCTTGATGCCATCAGGAGGGAAAATGATTATTAAGGCCATCGATGTACATTATTTTTGTTTTTGGTTTTCAGTTTTGAAATATTTGATTGTATTCATTTATCAAGAGGAAGCATTGAAATATTTGTACTCATCCTCATATCCCTTCAGCAAAGTAACCAATGGCCATCTTTAATGGTCTAATCTTCAGCAGCAAGGCAATTGGACTGCGCTCGCTTAAGAATTCTCTCCCAAATTACTTCCTCCTTAAACATGATCAACGAAGAGAATTAGTCAAATAATACACCCTATGACAATTACAATTTCTGATGTGGAAGTGTAGGCTGATGTGGAAGGCAACCCCCGTCGCGATATTCTTCTTGCTGGCTCTCATGGCATGGTTGGATACACCAGGAGTCCTACTTTTCAAGTGGATTTCAACAACTCAACCGCCATTCCTTGGCTTTCTCCTCCATTGGTCTGGAGCTTTGGCACTTGGGTTAGTCTGTTTTCGTCATTTTCTTCCAATTACATTACTTTTGCACGTGTTCTTACCATTTAGAACACGTTTAATATCTAATCTGAATATTTACACATCTTCTTACCGGTAAGAACACGTGCATTATCTGAGCTGAATGTTTATAAAGGTTATTACCAGTAAGAACGCTTCATATATTTCCTAATTTAAAAAAAAAAAAAACTATTCCGAGATGGACAAAGTGTTAGAAAAATGCATGGCGTGTAATGATTCGTCTTGACATGCTAAACCTCGCATCGTGGCACGCATAACATGCCTCGTGAATTGTCAACAAAATGCATGGCGTGTCATGACATGCATTCTGCCGACAATTCGTGACGCTTGTCATGTTGTGGCTAACAACAATGTTTTGGCTTGCCACGATGCGAGGGTTATCGTGTCATCGGCGATAACCCCACACATAGTCAAGTTCCCAAAACGAGCACGAAGACCATCCCAACCCTCCCCTTGAGCAGCACATAGCTCTTCTTCGGGGCGGCAAACCCGTAGACAAGCTCGAGCTTAGAGACCACGAGGGTAAAGTGCCAGAGCATGGTGATGTAGACATGACCGATCAAGAAGAGGAGAAAGATGACAATGCCGAAGAAAGGTAGCATAATTAATCTCTATTTTTCGAGAAGGAGACGGGCTTGGAGGTGTAGGGGAGACTATCCTCATTTTCATTTTAATTGAGAACCTCATTTTAAGGGTATATTAGTCATTTCATATTATTTTTTTGTTATAATTATAATAAATTAAAATAGTAGCTATAATTTTATGTTGGTTACAAATTTTAATTATTTTTCTAAATTTTCCGTAGCAAATCACCTTGAAGTGAATGACATAAAAATCATCAGTTAAAGTTGCAATCAATAAACTCAACAATACCATATCTATAGTTTGCCATTCTTGAAAGGCTTTTATAACATCCTTAGTTACACTAGTCTCAATGTTAAGAACAAATTTAGGAGGACAGACATCAAATCATGATCAAACCACGTATAGCCTTTTGAATAGGATTATCTCCCATCCTAATCTCTCTCCCCTTCCCTCCACTCATATTTAAACGGTTACGGTTTAACCACGTCAACATCTTATAATGATTTTTTTTATGGAAACAATAAGACAAAAAACAATATGTGAGAGGAATGTATGGAAGGGGATGAGAATAAAAGGGAAGAGAATCCTACTCCTAGCACAACTTTGAACTGAAAAGACCACTTTGTGTAATTGCTATCACTGAGTTTTATTTTTAGCATTTCTAGCACTCTCTCAACTTTAATTTCAGAAGAACTCATATTTTTAAGGAATCACTTCTTCAATCAGACAGAAAATTTGACTACTAACCATCGGATAATCTTCACAATCTACTAGCTTTAGCCTTGAGATTCAATCAGAATGAGTTGACGACTTCGGCCTTTTGACAACCCAGATCACAATATCAACTACAATTAACAAATAATGGCATTGGCCTTCACAATATTATCTAACCAATATTTCAAGAAAAACTCATAGGAACATGAAACCTAACATTTCTTCTGATTCCACTTTAGTAGCATACATCGCAATGATAGCAACAGTCGCCAAAATAGAAGAAAGAGCAACACAAATTGCAGGAAACATTGTAGATGAACAAGCTCTTCAGTTATTGAGCTCCAAACCCACAGAAGATCGCAGGCTCGATACCATATTAACACTACTGAAATGAATCTAAGAAACTGCAAAATGAATGTGAAATCTTTAGAGAGATGAACAACGGAAGAAGAAAAGAGAGAGAGGACTGAGTATTTTGTATCGACAGAATTGGAAAGGTTGCAACAAAATATGTAAGTACTTAGCTTTTGTCTGATAGCCTTATCTCATACACATCATTACACATTGGCTAACTATCAAGTAAACCACATATACACCTAGACTCTTTTGGTTATTATTTTATACATTCCTGATCTACGTATATGTTGTTCTGGAAATTAAAATTTATTAACTAAGCCCATAAATGAATTTATTTAGGACAAGGGCAGTTTAATAATTAAACTAGTTTTAATACGGATTTAGGGGTGTTTGGAATCAACACCTTTCATATTGCGATTCCAAACAGTTTAGTAAACGGTTTTTATAAGAATCTGATTCTAATTCCTCATAAATTCAATTCGCTCTATTCTGATTACTGATTAATAAACGTGCCCTAAGTAGTTCGTGCCCTCAATATGCAAAGTAATCTATGCCTCGATCTACTTAGGCCATCTCCAACCGATCCGGCCAGAGGGCTAGATGGCCAAAAATAGCTTGAAATGACACGAAAACTGTCTCCAACCGAGGGCCAGGCCAAAGGGCTCTTGGGTCCCAACGGGCCAAAAAAGGAGAAAAGGGTCAACCAGCTGCCCAACCCAGCCAGCTAGCCAGCCCCAGGTTGGGCCAAAATTTTTAAACCAACGGCTAGCTGACGTTAGTTACCATTATATTTGAATTTTTTTTTTCAGCCAAATTTTTAAATTTTTTTTTCCTATAAATACCTAAGCTTTTCCTACACCATTTATCACATAATTTTCACCATTCAATACTATCTCACTTCATTCTATTTCAATTCTTCACATTCTATTTTCTTACCTCTTCCAATAATCTTTCCTTCAAAATTTTCAATAATTTTCAAATGGCCACATCTGCAATGAAAGGTAGGGCTTGGACTCGAAAAGAAGATGAAACTCTTTGCTGGGCTTATAGATGGATCTCGGAAGATAGTGTGAGGGGGACTTCTCAAACAAGTGAAAGTGTTTGGACTCGTGTGTTCAAAAAATACTATGACTTCTGTGAAGGCACCACTCCACCGAATATCCAAAACCACGAGAGTTGTTCTTCAATGAAACATCTTCATCCAAGTTTGAATAAATGGCATCAAGCAATGTTAACGACCGCAAGTAGACATTAATGCGGCGCCAATTAGTACGACGAAGTAAGTGTTTTCACAATTTATTTTAAATATTTAATTATATTACATTTAATTTCATAAATTAATTTCCTTTAATTTTTGTAATTATATTTTCTAGATACGCCAAGCGGAGGAATTGTATATGGAGGACAACTCGAAACCCTTTCAGCATCACGGTTGTTGAGAAATTTGTAAAATGGTGAGTGTTATTTGAAGATCCACCTCAACATAGAGTAGGTCCTACGCCGGTGTTCAGAACTGCATCCTTAGCTGTAGATGGGAATGAAGATGGATCTCCTACCATTCCAGAAACAAAGGTAGAAAATCCGTCTTCGGGTGAAGGTTTCATACTTGGGGCTATGAGACGAAAAAAGTCCCAAAAATTGAAGGAAAAGGGCAAGACAAAGGATGATATCGCATTTCAACAGGAAATGGCAGCCTCTTTGCTATTAATGACGAAGCAAAATGTCATTGCCACGGAAGAAGGAACAGTAGGCATGAAGAACAGGCCAAACAAATACATGAAAAGATGGATGATAGGAAAATGAGGAAAATTATGGCCGGACGACAATTGTTTACCTCTGACTTTCATCCTACAATGGCATATGATGATTATAGACTTTAAATTTAAGTTGTTGTAGTTTTTAAATTTAATTTGTTGTAATTTTTAAATTTAAATAATAAATTATGTTTGGCCCTATGGCCCCCTCGGTTGGAGATGGTTTTTTGTCATAGGGCTATATTTCGCATATGACCCTCTGGCCCCTCAGTTGGAAATGATAAGAAATATGATCCTCATTGTTCATTAAAATATTAATTTTTTGGATGGTTATAGGGCTAAAACGAGTCATCTGGCCCTCATTCGGTTGGAGATGGTCTTAGTTCATACTAATAGATCCTGGACCAGTCTGTAAGTGAGTAACAAGTTGGCACCTGACTTCACATGACCACAAAATCACGGACAAAATCAGACATTCAATTTTGCAGGAAATCATTTCGCTCCAATCAGGTCAGCTAAGTTAATTAGGATTGGTGATATGCATGCACGAAAATAGGGATTTGATCAACTAACTCTTTCAAGTGGAAATTAACTTTGAATCTTTAAGTCTTCGGTAAATCAGATCGGGAAGTAAGCGCTTCATATAAATTAGTGGTAAACAAAGCCAAGGAGATAGTAGATACTGATGGACGAAGCTTATTATTTCTCTACACCAATACAAACAGAACCTTGTAGGTTATTGTCAAAGATCACCACACTTTTACATTCTATATATTGTTCTTGCTATCCATTCTAAACCAGTGTTTTAAAAAACACCCTAGGAGGCTGCCTAGGCGTTGGGCGGTGGAGTGCTGCGGGGATTTATGCCAAATCATTCATAAAATCGGGTACGGGTTAGTTGGCCGCCTAGGCGCTATCTAGGTGGCAATGGCTGTCTAGGGGACCTCGTTGGAGCTTCGGCGGTTCTCCATTTTGCTGCGATCTGACGAGAAGAGAGAGAGCAGACTGGAAATCTCTGGAATACATACAAACTCCGATTGATCGTTGAAATAACCCACCCCAGATTGCTTTATAAACTGCTTTTTGACAAACGGGCCGTGCCGATGTTGCTTGATAGTTGGGTATTTTGGAATTCTTTTGAGTTTTTGGGTTGAAGGTTGGGGGTTTTAAGTAGATTTTGGAGGTGGTGGGAGAGGTCTGATGATGTGAGAGAGGAGAGGAGAAGAAGCAACGCCCTTTCTTGAAGACAAAGATGACGCGATGGAAACGAAACTGATTACAATAATAGAGAGAGAGAGGTGTTTACCAAAAAGTAGAGAGAGAGGCGCACAATTTGGTTATTTTAATTAGTTGATGGAAACAAGGTGTCTTATAATATAAGAAAGAGGCTTGATGCGACAGAAGACATGAGAAGAGAAAAAGAAAGTGTGGGGTGGGTTGGGTTGGGATGGGTTGGACCGGGG